CCTATCCCCTGTGTGCCTTGCCTCCCACGACTATATATATAATACTAAAAATGCTAACTCAGGAATATATTTTTTTATAGTTACTAAAAATAGTAGTTTATTCAAATAGTTTGAAAAATACAAACGAAAAATTTTGCAAAAGCACCTTTATTATCCAAATTAATACAAATGTTATCTTAATATATACAGTACTAACTCAAGAATATTAATTTTTAATTACCTAATAAATAGTAATACTATAATTTTCTTTATTTATTGGAATTCGATTCAATTATGTCCTAAAAAGGGGTATCTTCACATCCAATGAAATAAGTACCAAAATGATAGTCTATAAAACTCCAATAAAAAAAACACACTTACTGTTTCATTAGATCAGAGATTCATCTACAAAATGTGACACATCGAAAGAAATGATTCAATTTCACATAATATTCTAAAAAAATAAAAATCAATTCCAAATAGAAACTAAGGAGAACATGAAGGAAATGACCGAAATGTAGGAAAAAACAATAAAGAAATGTAGAGAAAATGGAAGGTTATTTACCATGTAGATCACTAAAACATTTACAAAAACAAACAAAAATAAGTCAGTTCCACATAATGTTAAAAATAAAAAAAATAAAAAAAAATTTATTTTGAAACTAAGGAGAACATGATGGAAATAACCAAAAACGTAGGCAAAAGTAATAAAGAAATGTATGCAAATGCAGAGAAAACAGAAGATTACTTGCTTTGAAAACAAAAAATTATGCTTTCAAGAACATCTCAAAACAACTTGGTCTATAGAGCCTCAATCAATAAATCATTTTAGCGCTTCTATAGATTACTCAAATATCTACAAAAACAAACAAAAATAACTCGATTTTACTAAATATTCTAAAAAAATAAAAATCAATTCCACATAAAAACTAAGAAGAACATGATGGAAATGACCGAAATGTAGGCAAAAGCAATAAAGAAATACATAGAAAACATAAGATTATTTACATTGTAGATCACTGAAAAACAAATAAAAAGAACTCAATTCCACATAACGTTAACAAAAAGAATAAAATAACCTCAACTCCACATTGAAACTAAGAAGACCATGATGGAAATGACCAAAAATGTAGGCAAAAGTAATAAATAAATGCATAAAAATGTAGAGAAAACATAATACTACATACTTTGAAAACCCAAAATTATGTTTTCACAGTAGATCCGTTTAGAACATCTCGAAACAACTTGATCTACAAAGCCTTAGTCAACAAATCATTTTAGGGCTTCTATAGATCACTCAAAGATCTAAAAAAAAAAAGCTCAATTTCACAAAATATTTTAAAAAAATAAAAATCAATTCTACATAAGAACTGAAGAGAACATGATGAAAATGACCGAAATGTTGGCAAAAGCAATGAAGAAATGCATAGATAACAGAAGGTTATTTACCTTGTAGGTCATTGAAAGATCTAAAAAAATAAATAAAAAGAACTCAAATCCACAATATGTTAAAAAAAAAAACACTCAACTCCACATTGAAACTAAAAAGAACATGATGGAAATGGCCGAAAATGTAGGCAAAAGTAATGAAGAAATGCAGAGAAAACATAATATTACTTATTTTGAAAACCCAAAATTATGTTTTCACAGTAGATTCCTTGAAAACAACTTGAAATTACTTAATCTATAGAGCCTCAATCAACGAATCATTTTAGGCCTTCTATAGATCACACAAAGATCTACAAAAACAAACATGACAGTATTTTTATATATCAAACTCGTTTTTTGTATTGTCGTTCAAAAAAACAAAAAATTCAAAAATTCAAAATCTTAGAAACACTTTGAATCTTGAAAATATAAAGTATTTTGTCCTCGATTGTTCTTAGTATTTTGGCCCTAGAAGACAAGCAAGGAACTTTCATAAATTATGGGCAATTTTATCATTTTATGAAAAAGGAAATGTTTTTATGTGACCCCAACAACGTTATACGTGACCCCATTTCTTAGCCGTTCGATTTGAATCGAACGGCTACGATGGTTCATACCGCAATGCCACGCCAAACACTGTTTTATTTTTCTTTTCGTTTTTTACAAAACATTTTTTGATGAAATTTTGGGAGTCCCATAATTAGGGCAAACCTAGAAAAAAGCAACATAATATTTTTTGTAGAAATAAATGACCACAATGCTGAAATTTTGAAGGTTATTTTGATCATTTTTCATCGCCAGAAATCTTTTTTATTATTTTTTATCGTGTGTGTGAATGTCAGATCTATGCATGTATCAAATTTTGCTTCAAAAGTATTTATACAATAAAAAAATGTCAAAAACTATGAGCCGTCTGATCAAGATCTGATGGATAAGAGCTAGCTTTGTGACATTGTGACTCAAGCCATCCTAGCCACCTCCCTAGATTTGACAGCTGATAATAGGAATCACATATACTATATATGTAGGTGGGGTCACATAGAAAGCTCCCTCTTCAGAAAAATGGTGAACAAATTGGGAATGAGGTCAATGAGGTAAAAAAAAACAATGATAATTTAGAGCAATTATGTGTTAATTTCTCTTAGTATTTTGATACGTTGTGTATAACTAAGGCTTAAGTTCCTTATAAATACTAGTCCAAAACTTTCAATTCCCTGCACTATTTTTAAGCTCCAAATTCCATAATTAATTCACTACTATCGAAAAAGAGTTTTCTCAGTGGAAGTTGGAAGTTGTTGAAGTTGAATTTTCACAGAGGCTGCGTTGCCAGAGCCTTTGATGAATTTTTTAGGGCCACCAGCGGCACTGATTGACCTGAAGTCCTTACCAGACTTGCTGTTGCAAGTTAAGACCGGTGGGGCTTGGCCCGGTAGGCCTGAAATATTTTAAAGCTAAGCAGTGGCTATCTTGGTCAAAAACTAATTCGAATGGAAGAGTTTTTAAGTAAATATTTTGTATTAAATAAGAAAAATGTTTATATAAAGCCGAGGTCTTAAAAAATCAAATTAAGGTACACCTCAAAAAATCGGTTGTTTCAATGCTGAAAAATCTTCAATTTTGATCATCTTGACTTTGGATTACATAGACTTCAAGTCTTGAAAATAGTGCATATTGTAATGCATTATCTAGACCGTCAATTTTCAAGATCTTCAAGTGTCTATAGATTTGATTGATGCACACTATTTTTTAAGCTAGAAATTTCACAATTCGAAATTAAAATAAATTTTCTATCCGTCATAATGATTTTTGGTGTTGAAACAATATCTTTGACACTATTTGAAGGCACACCTTACTTTGATTGTTTAAAGCCTTAGCCTTATACCATCCACACCTATTAAGAAAAAATTTTCTTTTATTATATATTTACGAGAAATTTATCAAAGCATTCACACCAATTTGCTAATATATACTTATAGTAATGTACTCAAGGCTAAGTGGTCAAATAGTGGGGCACAACAATATGAAATCTTAAATTTTATTTCAATCAGAGACCTAATTCCCACTAAACTACCCAAAAAAAAAAAGAAAACAATTCAGAGTCATATATTTTGTGCCCGGGAATGTAATATAGTGACCTCCGATCGGACTCAGGGCCGAATGCGACCCATTAAAACCCGGCCCGTTGTCGGTCCCTAAGGTTTTATTTTTTTTGGTTTTTTTGATGCTTCGATAATTCAATGGGGAAGACATTAACTATCCCTTCTATTTTCAATATAGAATTAGTTCACTAAGCAACCAACCGATGCCATAGAGCCACGTGATTGCAAAGCATCGCGCCAGGTTTTAAAATCGTGCGCCGATCGCCTCACGATATGCCACGTATAATAAAAAATTCGTCAAGAAAACCACCACCTCCTTCTCTACACCTTACTAAGAGGCCCCATTTGCGTTAAACCTAAAAAAAAGACCAGGCCCCTTTGTTCTTTTGTTTAGCCTCTGGCCGCCATGACTAGCCGGGAAACCATCAATAACTCGCCTGGGAAACCAGAAAACCACCCGATAAACCGCTTACTACCCTCCCTAAACCTACATACACCGCCCCACCTTAAGGATTATATACCGAAGCTCCCTTCTTTCTCTAACCCCTTAATCCACAACCCACTTTACGACCTCTCACATGAATTTTTCATCTCACCCCATGAAGTGGTTCTCAAGAAAATACTCTTTGATTATTCCGGCGAGAATTCGGCCGGAGATCTCTACACGTGTGCGGGACCAAGGACTGATATTTGTTTTGACCCCAAAAACGTTAAGGCGGCTATTGTCACGTGTGGGGGTCTGTGCCCCGGCTTGAACACGGTGATAAGGGAATTGGTTGTGGGATTGTGGGACCTTTATGGGGTCAGGGAGATTTTTGGGGTTATGTCTGGGTATAGGGGATTCTGCACGTGTGAGCTGCTGAGGTTGAATCCTAAGACGGGGCATGATTGGCACAAGAGAGGGGGCACGGTGCTTCAGACTTCGAGAGGTGGGTTTGATTTGGAGAGGATTGTTCATTCCATTGAAGCAAATGGGTTTAATCAGGTTAGTGGAATTTTGTTTGTGTTCTTTTGACTTCGCTATGTTCGTTTTTGTGTGTGTGTGTGTGTGCGTGCGTGCGCGCGCATGTGTGAGGGAGTGGGGTGGCAACAGGTCGGGTTGGGTCAAGGTCTGTGACCAGACTTGGATCCGAAAAACTATTATGGGATCCGTACCCGGACCTGACCGGATCCAAAGTCATTGGACCTAGACCCAAAAATATATTGTGGGACTCGACTGACAAATTAAAATATCTTAGGATTTAAATATATTCTATTGTTTTTTCATAAATTGGGAAATGTGGGACTCGGACCCGATCCGACCCAAACAATAACCAAACACTGTTTTAGTCCAAGATTTACACCCGGACCCCACCAGTTGGGTCCAATTTTTGGACCCATGCCCGGACCGAGGTGAGGTTAACCGCCGGTCCCATGTCGGGTCTCTGGTCCATTGCCACCCCAGAGAGAGAGAGATAATGTTTGGGATTTTGGAAGATTTTGGTTTTTTTTTTTCCTATTAGACTTGGGTGTATATATATATGAGAAATGATTTCGTACAACGGTGGTATAGTAGTATAATTTTGTTTGACACAAATTTTTAAATTTACACTCTTTTCGTTCCGAAGAGCAATCACAAAAAAGAAAATTTTGAAAAAATGCTCTAGAAAGTTTTCAGTCTTGTCCAATTAATATATGCCATCCATTTTATTGAGATGGCTAGATGTAGGCTTCATAAGCATTTCTTTATTCCCACAATTTTTATATATTGTTATCATAATTAGATTAATAATGCTAAAAAATAAAAAAGTGATTTAAATTTTTCAAAGCCTAGATCTTGAAATTTACCAAATGGATGGTCGAGATTCATTGTTGGATGGGTACTAATTTTGACCATACCTAGGGTGTAAAGTTTTTTTTGTAGGATTGATTATGAGGATGAAGAGAATGTGGGTGCAAAATTTGGGGTCCTACAAATGCCAAAACTATGGTTTCTAGAGGTGTCGTCGTATTATACTACTATACAACAGTTCCATTAGATCATTTCCTTATATGGGGAATGATTTCATGGTTATATATAGGAAAAGTCTTCTCAACGCCTATAACGCCTATAGGCGAAAATAAATAGTGATTTTGTCTATCCTCATCACTGTCTTAATTTCATAGAGCGGTCACGATTGTCCAGTAGTTGTTTTATTTTTTATTTTATTTTTAAATATCGGAATGACCTGAAATTTGGAAGGTGTTTATATCTTACTAAGGAGCATCTAATAAAAATATAAAAAAAAATTATCCACAAAAAACAAATTAGATCAAAATACCCGTGAAACTTTTCGGGGGTATTTTGGTCAATTTTTTCATGTAAAATATTTTTTTTTATATTTTTCAAAGATTCCCATATTTTTTATGAATACAAGTTCCAAATTTCAAGTCATT